ATACACATAGATACATAGATATAGTATATGTGCATATGACATTATTTAGTGTTGGGCCTTGGGCAAGATCATTAGAGCTGTCTGCCTACCTCAAATAAACCAAACCATCTCAGATTTTGCCCAGTCAAACGAGGTTTGTGTCGATAGACCAGGGCACTATGTTGGGAAGTAGGTCTTTGGGAAAAGGAGACAATAGACAATGGAACATAATAAGGCAATATACAATTTTCCAGCAAGCAAAGTCAAGTGAAATGGTTCAAATGGATCTCCAAGATTATGTGAATAAAGCACTAACTACAATTTCTACTGTGACCATCACAGTAACCAATGAACTATACAGTACAGCATTAATGATTTTTTGAGATGATGGCAGAGATAATGTCATGAGTGTCCACCATAGAGATGAAGTTTTGAAGTCAAAATGAAGATAACATGCAAAGAAGTAAACCAACGGTAAGTACTCAAGAAGGTTGCATCTAGAAAGCAAATACCCCAGAAAAGCAAGCATATGCCCATGCCTTAGGTCCTTGAAACTGCCAAGTAAAGATTCCAAGCCTTGATTGTTTGAATGAAGAGGTACACAAAGAAGAAGGCAGAAAAAATAAACAGGCTGTTCTTCACTGAACCAGCTAAAATGTACTTCCAATGAGAGGGTAATGATACATGAAAAAACCCACCAAGGCTGGAGACTAAACAATAATGGAAAGGTATGTGGGAGAAAGAAGCATCACAAAATATTGATGCACAATGACTATTGGATCTAGAAGTAGACCACACTGATCTCCCTTAAAAAAAGAGAAAAATACTGTAAACATCACAAAGGCATCCAGAAAAGGATTCTGGGGTTTGAAGAACTGCACAGCACCATCTGGTCATGATCCACAACTGGCTGAAGAATCTGATTTCTCTGCATGAGCTGCACAAATTAACTAACTGCCGTAGAACCATCCCACCCTGAATGGTTCACTAATGGCAGAGAAGAGGAAAGTCCCAACCAACTAAGGGCCAATTACCTGTCTTTCTACAACATGGAAGCTTCTGTCAGGCATTACAGTGACTAAGATACAACAGCACATTGATAAACATAAGAAGGAGGCAAAGAGATGCATTGGTGAAAACACCAGAGGAACAGTAACCTGAAAGTGTAAACGCAAAATAAACCTGTGCACTGCACCTATGACTCAAGGTCACACACAGATCCTGGAATTCCTGAAGATGAACAAGACAATATGAATGAACAATATTCTGAGAGCCTCCATTACAAACTCCCTAAGGCTGTGGATAACACATCCTTGAGGCTAATTTGTAAGCCATTTGTCCAAATCTCCATTAAATATATGGAATATATCAATGAGATGCTCTATATTCTGTTCTGCAGGCCTGAACCCCCTCAGCCAAATAGTCAACAAGACTGCCTATGGATAGAGACTCAGAAATCGGGCCACTATCGTCCACATTTTATACACTGATCAAATTTAGTTTTATGCTTATACAGAGAAACACTTTTACTCATTGATACACACCAGCATGATTTACAGTAGGTACACAGGAATGTAATTTGGGCTGAAGAAATTAGGGCGGATGGTAACAAACAGAGGCAAGGTAATCCACATAGAGAGGATTGCACTCCCAGAAGCAAGAATAGCAGAGGTTGAAAAGAGCCGTAAATACATTGGAATAGGAGGCTATACCAAGTACCAGTAGCATTTGCATCAAATATTTACACCGCCACTTCATAAACTTATCTGCACCTACCAAGTGTGGGTGCTAATTTCCACGTATACCACAGACTAAATTATTTAAAGGCATGAGTGGTCAAATATTTTAAACATGAAGTGGAAAATTTATGTTTTCTTTCTTTGTGTTTCTCTAAATGTTTGTGTATCCAGGATGGTGGAGTACTCGCTGGACCTTCAAAATATCAACTTATCAGCCATTCGGACAGTTCGGGTTCTTCGACCACTGAAAGCCATCAACAGAGTCCCAAGTGAGAGAAGTTTAAGTGTTTTTGCTTCAGTTTGTGAACATGTTTTAGTATTCAATTGATTTTATTGTTAGATTTACTATAGGTTTATTTTTTCTGCCGTTGACAATTTCAGATTTTAGTTTCTCTAGTTTTTTTTTTTTATTTTATCTTTATTGATTCTCAGAAAAGTATGGTTTACATAGACATAGGCCTCTACTTCAAAGGATTAACTCCAACATTTGCAATAAGGTGAACAAGTAGGGCATTGCGTTATAGCAGTCCAAACAAAGCAGTGATTTCACTTCCCCGAGAAAGATTATATAATAGAAATAAAGAAATAAAAAGAGAACAAGAACAAAAACAAAAAAGGAAACACAACAATGAAAAAAACTTAATTCAATTTAACATATTAGGAGATTGGATTGTCGAGGAGATTTAATCAAGGTCTCTAAAATTGAAATCAGATTTTTTAAGTTTTACATAGTCTACTCAAATCTGCCATCACAGACAGAATTGCTCAGTGTTGTGATTGAGAGAGGCTGTTACTTTTTCCATATTATGTATGTTAAATGTTATGTCGATCCAGTCGTCTTAGTTGTTTTGTCCTGTGATAACCATTTTCTTGAAATGTTTTACTTACTTGCTGTTAATCAAATATTTATTTCTTTTTGAGGCCTCTTGAGGAATTATACCAAAATACATAAGCTTGATCTCCAAAGGAATGTTCTGTTTGAAAATATATTGTAAGGCATTATTTATCTATTTCCAGTAATCTTTTTTATAATTGGGCAGTCCCAGAAGACATGATAATGGTTTACATTTTGATTTCTACATTTCCTCCAACATGTAGGGGATTTCTATCATAGTGGCATTTCTGAGCAGGTGTGATAAAAAATCTTGCCAGATTTTTCCACCCAAATTATTGTCATTGTAGAGATTTATTGTATGTCCAATTGTGTCTCCACATTATTGCCCATTCCTCCTCTGTTATTTTCAAATTGCCCTTTCTTTCCCATTTTTTTTTTATATGTAGGGTTTAATTGTTTTTGAGATCCATTTGGTTTTTATAGATAAGAGAAAAAAATGTTCCCTCTAATTTTTGATTTATAGGCATTAATACAAAAATTCCATTAGGTTTACATTTTTGTCAGTAATTGGCCTAATTTTTAAATTACCGTAACAACATTTCTTATTTGTAAATATTGATAAAACTCCCGTTTGTCCAAAGAATATTTTCTTTTAAGTGTTTTAAAATCACTTAAGATTTTGTTGTTCATCATTGTGCACACAGCAATGATTCCTTTTGATGTCCAGTCCTTAAACCTGGTATCCATTTTATGATTGCAGGTCGTTCTCTAGTGCATTTTTTTAACGATAGTCTTCCACACTGTGAGGGTCGCTTCTCTATGTTGTTACATCTTTCTGTCAGTACACATCAAGCACAACTGCACTTGTCTGAAAATTAATTCAGACGAATTTCCTCTTGACTACATCTCTGGGAGTTTTTCTCCATACTTATCCAACCATTTCCCCATGGGCATGATTAAACTTTCATCTAATGCTTCATCACAAAGTCAGTTCAAACCTTGAGTCACAGCCCTATCAGATTTACAAACCACACATTAATGCTGCTTCACTGATCAGTGCGTGAGCGTGGACCCATTCCCCTTATCTAATGCTCTATTCTCCTGCAAACATTCTAAGCCCTATTGATTTATTTGTTCGACTGTCCTAAATGCAAGCTTTTCATCATTTTAATCAGCAATTAGCTTGAACAAGCTAAATCTGAAATAATGTAATTAATAACTAACCACTTTATTGTGGATGGTTGATCTTCGTATGAAAATACTTCAAAAATATTTCAAATATGGAAAGAAGAAACTGTTATCTTCATGACTCTTCTAATCTTCTGGATGTTTATCTGAACTTTGGAGTTTTTTATTAGAACCTTTGGAGCCTGACTGATGGTCCTTCACAATATCTTGTCAGGACCCAAACCTTTTATGGGGCAGCAGTGGCGTTGGATCAAGGAGTTTGTCCTGTAACTGGAGAGTTTTTGGTTCAAGTCTTCTGCTCCAGCTTTCAGTGTCATTGTGTCCTTGGGCAAGAAACTTCACCCACATTACATAGTGATGGTGGTCGGAGGGACTGGTGGCGCCAGTGTATGGCAGCCTCTCTTCTGACAGTGAGCCCATGGGCAGCATAGGCGACATTGTAGTTTGCCACCATCAGTGTGAGTGTGTGTGCGTGAATGGGTTAATGACTGAATGTAGTGTAAGCGCTTTGGTATTTTTCCTAAAAGTGCTTTGTACTACATGTTACTTTGCAACTACTACCTGCATTTATGTTGAGTTCTTAACTTTTTTTTTTTGTCTAGAGGGTAGGTGAGTTCAAATATTCAGGGGTGTTTTTTTTTATTTTTTTTTTATTAAATTGTCATATTTTTTATGGCTGTCAATTAATTGTATGAAAAATATATAAAAGTCCAGACAATGTGATCCACATTCTGCAAATGGCCTTTGACTTCTAAACTTAACAGAATACACTTTGCTTTTCATGAGTTGACTTCCTGAATTATCGATCCGCTCAGATCTAGACTGATGTGAGGTTTGAGCAGTGTGTGTTAAAAAAAAAAATATTTATATATATATGAGAATAGAATAGCCACCTATTTTACGGAAGTGGCTGGCATCTCTGGGACACTTCAGAAACACACCTTGTCGCACCCGGTGGAACCACTCTGATTGACCAGAATTGCTGCCATCAGCTGTAACTGTTCATGTTGTCTGCACTTCAGTGCATTCCACTGCGCTTCTCTGGCCTGAGATCGCCATTACTCATCCAGTGGTATCTTTCACGTGTTAATTTTTAAGGCCTTTTCCATAGCATGGGAGAGATACATTGATCACACCAGCGGACCTTTGCTGCTTATCAGTGATCATCATGTCAGGTTAGTTGGCTATAACAGTTTTTTTCCTATTTTATAATTTCCAAACCTTTTTGGGTGACTCTCTCTTCTATCTCCTGGTCCCAAGTTTATATTCTCCACATAAGTTATGGAAGGAAGCTACAAGTGCAGCAAATAACTTTGGTATTCACCAAAAATGTGTAATTGTATTATAAGGTTCAAGTTAAACATAGTCTTATTCATTATTTTGTTTAATATATCATAATGAACAAGCCGTCCTCCCTTTGGTGCTTAAAAAGGGGAACCTGCTTAGTCAAATCTTTGATACAGTGGCAGGACTTAGGGAAACATTTGGAAAAGTATGAAGATTATACATGGTGCATCAGCGAATAGTAAAGTGGTTGCAAATAAATGTTCCCTTCTAGAGATGATTTTATGTTCCTCTTTTAGTGTGCAGAATAAATAAGTTTATCTTTAATTATATAGCTGATATTAAGCATACGCATTTAATGTAACATCAATGTATTGTTTATACATCACATGTAGATTGGTCTACAAGGGCTTTTATTGATTACTTTATTTTGATCTGTGATCTCCAAAGTATGCACGCTACTGTAGATAACTAGTGTGCCGAAGTCCTAATTTGTTTTGAGACTGTCTGAAGTGAGGAAGCAGGGGGACAAAGCTATTTGTTATTTGCTCAGTTGGATTGCTACTTTGCCCACAGGTACAAAAGCAGCACAAACACTTCCTGACCCCTCCACACACCTCAATTTGTAACCCTCCTACAAAGTGGCAGATAATAGCAGTGTGTAGCTTATCTGTGTGTGTGCACTTGTGGTAAACTTTGTTTTTGAGGAAATTGGTGTGATGAAGAAGGAGTGGTAGACACAACAGTCGGGGAGGCAACAAGTACCACAGAAACTGGAAAGAAAGGAGAGAAAAAGAGGATTCTCCCATTCTCTAGTGAAAGGCACACACAGGAAGATATTGATGCACAGGCATCCATCTGTATATGAGAACAACAGTAGTTGGAAAACAAAAAGTCAGGGAAAGTTCAGAAATAAATTATGGTAGACAGATGGAGAAGAGGATGTATTGTTTAATGTCACACTTAAAAATCAAGAGACTGATAATGAATAAAACTTTACCTTTTGCAAGAATCAAATATACTGTCATATTTCTATTTTACATTAATTATTCCCCATTTCTTTTCTATATTTGCTTTTTTGTCTGCATAGTGAGTATAAATAAACCCTTTTTTGTAACATGCCGTCTCACTCTCTACCCTTACTTTTCTCTCCATCCATTGCTTCCTCGCTCCAGCCAATTAGGCTTAATGGAGCAATGGCCTAATGACAAGAAGCCCGGGGAACAAATACATTTAGACTCGCCCGCAGCCTTCAGAACACTAGCACTGTTACTGCTCTCCATTTAAGTTAATGAAACAAACAGCCAGAGATGATATACAAGTTTAGATTAATTCTGTGACAGATGTTTTTTTTAACAAGCATGCTTTTCTGTTTATATAAAACTGTGGCATTAGACCATGGCCGTGGTGGACCTTTCTCGTCATCATTTTACAAACTGCCCTAGGACATTCAGTAGGTGTTGGGAAAAGAAAGTTAGCATGACTATGCCTTCTGTACAAAACAGAGATTAAATCCTCTGGTCCCCAATTCCTACTCCTCGATAAAATCCCCCTTGCTATGTCTGTAAATCCTCAATGAAAGTTATGAATGGAACTAAATTCAGAGAGACACTCTGTCAGAGTCCAGCAAGTATTGAGAACAGCTCTGACTTAAACTTACCAATTGAAACCAGACTCCTGCCTTGCTTGTTGCCTCTAGTAAAAAGCTCCCTACTTCTGGAGTGCCAACCATGCATTAATAGAAATGGGAGAAACCCCTTTCCAGTTTTATAAAGTACAAGTAGACAAGGAAGTAAGTCCCGTTAACTCTTTAAACACTCTGTAAGGGGCGTAGGGGTTTTCTAGTTTTACGGCCAGCAAGAAAAAACAAATTGCTCTTTCAAAGCCAAAGCTCAAGTACTTTCTGTGTCGATCTGTCTCTCGGTTCATATATATGCAGAAATGTTTTCTTCCTTCTTTTAA